GGTGCACCTGCTCCCGGTCAGGTTAGGTTTTTTTTTCCAGCATTTGGCCCAGTGAGCGCAGCTGATTCCGGGCTGGCTCCAGCTGCTCCCGGTCAGGTTAGGTTTGCACTAAGTCCAAACCTCCAGCCTCCCCACCCACCCTCGCCTCTCACGCTGGCCCGCACACAGTGCAGCTGCTCCCGGTCAGGTTAGGGTTTTTTTTCCAGCATTTGGCCCAGTGGGTGCAGCTTATTGGCAACAGCTGCAGCCAGTTAACAATCAGCTCCTGCCTCTATATAAATCGGCTCCTCCTCCMAGCAGAATCACTCTGGGGACAGGCTGCGAGAAGGTWAGYGTGCTAAGAAACTTGAACTGGGTCTTGTGTCTGGTTCTTACTGATTTGTTTCTCCTGTTTTAATGTGTTTGTGCAGATGGCACCTGCGGCAGCTGCTCGTTGTCCGCTCTGCGTCGGATGGTTTAGAGCCATGGCGAGCCACCTCAGGCGGGCACACTGTGTGCAGAACCTCCACAAAAGGAAGCTGCTTTCGAACTTAGCCTTCGGGAGAATGAACGTGAGGGACCTCGCCTGCCCCGTCCACGGCTGCACATACAGGGAGGGACGCCTGGACAGACACATCCTGCAGGGCCACGTGGAGCTGACCGAGGAGGACAGGCGGGCTCGGCTGCGTCTGGTGAGGCGAAAATGCACCCGTCACATGATTAGGCAGCTCGGGTTAAAACAAGCCAGCCCGCTGTTGGTCTCGGACCTGCACGTGGAGGAGCCCGGCGGGGAAAGGCTGTCGGCCATTTCGGTGCCGCCCGACGGGGAAAGGCGGGGCTCCCTCTCCAGCGTGGAAGGCGAGGACCAGGCAGACGGGGGCCACCCAGGGGAGGTCCAGGCAGACGGGGGCCACCCAGGGGAGGTCCAGGCAGACGGGGGCCACCCAGGCCAGGACCAGGCAGACGGGGGCCACCCAGACGAGGACCAGGCAGACGGGGGCCACCCAGGCCAGGACCAGGCAGACGGGGGCCACCCAGACAAGGACCAGGCAGACGGGGGCCATCCAGGCCAGGACCAGGCAGACGGGGGCGACCCGGGCACGACCACACCCCAGGACGGACCGCTCCCTTCCCAGCAGCTGCTTCCCTTGCCAGGACCGGTGGCACGCTTTCTGCGGGGCTTCAGGAVGTTTCACATGGGCGGGCGGCCGAGCAACAAACACTACCAGAACGCGGTGTCCAAAGCCAACAGGGTCCAYGTCTTCCTGGCTTACATGTCCGAGGGGGCCGGCGAAAGGAGAACTGGCTGTTCCTGGACGACGTCGAGCGCATTCAGCGGTGGCCCGCGGAGCTGGCCAAAGCCGACAAGGCGGTCACCACGGTCAACACGTACCTGGAAAAACGTCCACCAGTTCATGCAGTACTTCATGGAAACCCCGCCGGTGCCCTGCGGTCTGACGAAGAGCCAGCAGGCTGGTGTGGCCCGAGCCCTGAAGAGCTGCCTCCGGGACCTGGCCAGGGAAGTGGTCGTGCACCAGATCTCCGTGAAGGAAGCCAAAGTCTCCAGGGCCATAACGCAGCAACACCTCACCGCCTGCAAGCAGCTGGCCGCCCGCAGGATACCAGAGTTGCTGGGTAAGTGGATGACATCCAGGGTTCGCTGCAGCCACGTCGCTGTTTTTTAACCCGTATTCCTCCATCCCCACAGACATGCTGGAGGTCAAAGACACCCCACCCGTGAGGCACCTGTTTCACGGTTACGCGGCCACCTTTGTGTCCTCCATCTACGGACACAGGACCGGCGTGATAGCCAACATGAGGGTGGAAGAGCTCGAGGCGGCGAGAGGCGCATCTCCGGAGGGAAGCCACGGCGTCGTCATCAACGTGAGCGTGGCCACGTCCTGGACGCCGGTGTGTGTGTCGCTGGGCCGTTTTTACTAACTCTTGTCTGTTCTGCCAGGTCAGGGAGCACAAGACGAACCGGGCGTTCGGGATGGCCCAGATCTACCTGACCCGGGACGAGTTTGTCTGGCTGGAGCGGTGGATGCGTCTCCGAGACCGACTGGAGCCCAGCGACGACCGCGTCTTCACCACGGGGACCCCGGCCAACGGGAAGACCCTCCTGCAGTTCCTCCGGCTGGCGTGGGGAGAGATGAGCTTGCCCGGACGCCCGACCTTCACCGACATCAGGACCTCGGTCGCCACTCACGCCAGGAACTGCCACAGTCCGGAGGTCCGGCACAAACTCTCGCACTTCATGTGCCACGACACCTGCACGGCCGACCGGTTCTACGCCCTGCACCTCTCCCGAGACCAGTCCAAAGACATGCGGGAGCTTTTCGAAGCAGCCTGCAGGCCCCACCCGTGTGAACCACCGGCATCAAATTAAAAATAAAGTTGTTTAAATTTGCATTCTGTTTAAAGTCTTTCATTTCATGTAAAAATGTGTGTAATTTTGTTGGTTTTAAGCTTATATCTCTGTGGGGAAACATCATAGAGACTCCATTCTACTACTGGGTTGTAGCTGAGATCCAGACCTTTCCAACGGTGTGCGACACTCCCGGCTACGACACTCCTGGGCCCGGTTATGCTGCTAACAAGACCCGGTCTGGACCTGTGGTTTTTGCACTAAGTCCAAACC